TGTATTTCAGGTAGGAGACAGGGCGGACCACAGCCAGGTAACGCTCCACACAGATACAGGACTGAAACAAGGGCCGAGCGATCATAAAAAAACTGATAAGAAAAAAAAAACCTTTTATGAGCATTTTAGTTTTAGAAATAACTTTGAATATCATATAAATTCCAGCTGGGTAGTTCAGTAGCTCCATAACGGTTACGTTGAAAACAAATAAATCAGAGGTCAAAACCCTCTCTTTGCGGCTCAATAACAGCCATATAACCGCAACATTGGAGGGCAGACCGATGATAATGTCTCCAAAATATATTAGTTGGTACAACAATGTTGTTATTTGTACACTATTTGAAAGGCTGTTATTTCTGCCAGGGGATTCATTGAACGTTGTATAATTTTCTACTGAGAAATTCATTTCAAATAGAATATTAACTCATGCCAATACTCTACATTTACAAATGTGTAAAATCCAACTGCTTGAAGAGCCTGAAAAGACAGAATTGAAAGAGAAGTTAAAGGCATTTCTTAGAAATTGAAAATGTAAAATTGGCAAAATCTTGGCTTTGTCATTTATGTTTAACAGAAATTCTAAATTTTCTTTTAATGGGTGTCAGAAAGAAAACATTGTCATATAGCAACTACATCATCATCATCTTAAATGATCTGAAATTAAAAACAGTAAAAAAACAAAAAAACTGTCTGATATAAAATGATTTGCAGGCATTGATGTTAATAATAGAACCTGTGGTGTGTCTGACAAGTTTTAACTGGAAGAATAGGCAAAGTCAAGTACATGATTTTAAAATGACTGCCATTCATATCTGAAGCTAGATTATCCATTCACAAACTTCTTCAAGATTTACTAAGACTACTTCTGAAGATTTTATAATATACACACACGCATCCACACGCACACACACGCTACAGCCATTTCGAAACCTCTCTTAAATTAAACTAAATTAATTAAATTATCTGTTGGTGAAATGTAACAAATACATGGAATGGCTGGGTATATACACACATACACACATATACATACATACATACATATACATATATATATATATATACATATATATATATATGTATGTATGTATGTATACAGTATGTGTGTATATACCCAGCCATTCCATGTATTTGTTACATTTCAACAACTTGTTTTATACATAAAATAAAACAAGATATAAGGTACGACTATTGTTGACAGTTCTGCATTTTTTAGGTTATAGGTTTAACTTCATAATGTGTAATAATGGATGACAGTTTAAGCGATAATTAAAATAAATAACAAATAAAAGGCATACCTTGACAGATGCTCTGAGTTACTTATGGCGTTTAATTAGTCTCAAAACCTGAGCGCATAAAAACCATGTGCACCTATGCACTTGTGAGCAGAAAACCCATCCTCTCTACACGCTCGCATTCTCTGGACAATCTCCGTGCACGTGTTCCTGTCTGCACAACACTTGCTCACTCGACAGACTGAGTTTTGAGACTTTGGAGGCGGGAACAGTGGCTGATTTCTCCACTTCATTGATTGGTCACTTTGAATCTCGTGATTGGCTGTTAGCTTTCGAAGAAGATGAAGAAGATGATCACTGACCAGTCGATGAGAGAACAACCAGTTTCACGCTCTGTCATGATGTAATAGACATCTGGGCCAGAGTAGGGCTTGATGTTAGCCACAAGTGGCCAGGCTCTGTTTG